AAAGAATGGTTATAATGTTTTATTATGCTTTACTCTATCTTGTATGGTTCAGAGAGAACTCCAGCCAAAATGGCACTATGCCCACTGCCCACCTGCACAATGATTTCATTTTCTGTGTAATTATTTGTTGATTTCTTTCAGGGCCCCCTATGCTATGAGACTGATGTAGCTTAATGGGTGAGACAATTTAATTTTCTCATTCTTTAGCTTTTCCCATGAGGTCGATCCTCCTCCTAAACTCTGAACTGCTTCTGAAATGGGTGTGCTGTCTATTTTTCCTGCAGGAGACCTTTAAAGATAAGTAACGCCAAACCTTTTTCTTGGCTTTACTTCTCTTTTGGATCACAGGAGTAGATTTACTAAAGTACTCCTGTGACTCAAAGTCAGCAGGTAGTGAGATTTTCACATTTGCAGACTCACCCAGGCATTTGGGAGCTTGCAAAGACCCACAGCACATCTGCATATGTGAAGAAGATATCGGTGCATGTTCACACATGCCACAGGTCTCTACAAGGTCTGGGATACTTAAAAACATCAGCATGTGTGTGCATGCCCTATGCATGCGCAGACATGCTGCAGGTCTCTGCCAGGTGACAAATACCTGGCAGAGACCTGTGGCATATGTGCACACACATAGGATATTTCAAGATGGTGGTGCGGAAGAGAAGAGGCAAGAGGAGAAATACAAGCTGTGGCAAAAAATCAGATCACCTTGGGGTGTCTACTTTCCAACAAAGGATCATTTTGGGGGTTTTCGTGCTGCTCTGGCATTTTTGTTTGCTATGATTTATAGCAGAAAGTAAGGGAAACTGTTTTATTTCAAAAGTTTTGGTCTTTTTTTTTTCTTTATATAGTAAAAAATAAAATAGCGATTATAAATACAACCAAAAGTGAGTTCTGTCTGTCTCAAAAAAAAATGATATAAAATTAATTTGGGTACAGTGTTGCATGACAGAATAATTTTCAGTCAAACAAAATAGTATTTTTATTTTTTGTATGTACATCAGGCTGAAAAGAGGGACATTTGAGGAGCAAAGAGGACACAGGGGTTTGGTTCTCAAAGAGGCACAGCCCCTTCAAATGATGGACATTTGGGACCTATGCTTTGTGGTCCTGAGGGCTGTACAGTATGTGCCAAAGAGCTGCATTTGATTGCAGGTTGGGCACCAGAAGTCTACAGACTGCCTATATGTAGGCTATGTGTAGGGCACATTACGGCAACTGTATGTCTATAAATAGGCAATGCATATGGCACATTGCGTACTGATCTATGCCTATAGGCAGGCTTTCTGTAGAGAACATTACGGACTGCTCTACGCCTATAGGGTGGATATGCTAAGAGCACATTACAGATTGCTCTATACCTATAGGCAGGCTGTCCTTATAGCACATTACAGATTGCTCTGCAGCTATAGATAGGCCATGTGTAGACCACAATACAGACAGCTCTATATCTATAGGTAGAGCAAATTACAGACTTCTCTATGTCTATAGGCAGTGGCGTCACAAGGGGGGTGCGGCCCACACCCGGGTGACACCCAGTGACTGCTCCGGGTGTCACCCAGCCTAGTCTATAGGTAGACTATTGTGTAGTGCAAATTATAGGCTGCTCTATGCGTATGGGCAGGGCTGCATCTATTATGAGGCAGCATGAGGCAGTGGCCTTTCATTGGGGAGCGGCTGGGTGGTGGTGGGGAGCTCTTAGCAACCTGTGACGCTCTGTGCTTTCCTGCCCAGCTCACTGATTTAACCGGCAAACAGTGACGCCAGTGAGCTTGGCGGGATGCCAGACAGAGCCGCTGACAGCGAGGCCCGGCGTCCATTACCGACTCCTGCCCTCTTCAAACAAATCAGCAGCGCACGCCTTCCGACCCACCACTGACCATTCCCTGACAGCAGTCCCTCGAAATGACATCAACACAAGTGGCAATTTACCTAGGGGCAGCACTGCCTATAGGTAAACTATGCGTAAAGCACATTATAGGCATCTCTATGCCTATGGATAGGCTGTAGGTGGAGCATGCTATAGGCTGCTCTATGTCTATAGATTTGAAATGATTGGAGCACATTACAGACCTCTCTCTGTCCAAAGGGTAGATTATGTGTAGAATACATTATAGGCTGCTCTACACATATAAGTAAGCTATGTATAAAGCTGATTACAGACTGCTCTATGCCTATAAGTAGGAATTGCTTAGAACACATTATAGACTGCTCTTTGCAAAAAGGCAGGGGAGTATCTGCCGCGAGGCAAACAAGGCATGTGGCTTGGGCGGCACTTTCCAGGGGGGCAGCAAAAATGCAGACCCCAACACAGTCAGGCAAGCCATGCTCCACAAAATTTGACAGCCTCAGCTGCCTAATTGAGCACAGGAGGCGGAGGTGAGGAGCAGCAGCAGGAGGGGTCTGGTCCGGGTTTCCCCATGGGGGGGCAGGTCCAAATCCCGATCAGGTGATGGAGGAAGCCGATCCCAAAGTGCCAGTCGGGCGGCGGAGGAGGCCAGGTGCCCGCAGCACCAGTGGTCCGGCGTGGAAGTAGGCTCCGCAGGGTCTCAGTGGGGCTATGCAGGATCTGTGGTGGGCTCTGCAGTGTGCACAGCCCCCCTGAGGTAGTCTATTGTGTAGTGCACCACAGATCCTGCAAAGCCCCCCTAAGACCCTGCAGTGCCCACCAGAGATCCTTCACAGCCCACATGAGACCCTACAGATGTGGCGGATGCCTGAGTTTCGTCTTGCCTAGGGCAGGCCCAAACCAAAATACACCAGTGCCTATAGGTATACTATGCATAGAGCACCTTATAGGCTGCTCTCTATATGTAAGTAGGCTATGTGTGAAGCACGTTACAGACCGCTCTCTATCTATAGGTAGGCTATGTGTAGAGTACATAACAGACCGCTCTATGTCTACTGGTAGGCTATGTGTAGAGCACATTACAGATCACTCTATATCTATAGGCTGGCTATTTGTAGAGCACATTACAGACTATAGGTAGGCTATGTGTAGAGCACATTACAGACCGCTCTATGGCTATAGGTAGGCTATGTGTAGAGAACATTACAGACCGCTCTATGGCTATAGGTAGGCTATGTGTAGAGAACATTATAGACTATAGGTAGGCTATGTGTAGATCATATTACAGACCGCTCTATATCTATAGGTAGGTTATGTGTAGAGCACAGTACAGACTATAGGTAGGCTATGTGTAGAGCACATTACAGACCGCTCTATGGCTATAGGTAGGCTATGTGTAGAGAACATTACAGACCGCTCTATGGCTATAGGTAGGCTATGTGTAGAGAACATTATAGACTATAGGTAGGCTATGTGTAGAGCATATTACAGACCGCTCTATATCTATAGGTAGGTTATGTGTAGAGCACAGTACAGACTATAGGTAGGCTATGTGTAGAGCACATTACAGACCGCTCTATGGCTATAGGTAGGCTATGTATAGAGCACATTACAGACTATAGGTAGGCTATGTGTAGAGCACGTCACAGACCTCTCTATATCTATAGGAAGGCTATGTGTAGAGCACGTTACAGACCGCTCCCTATCTATAGGTAGGCTATGTGTAGAGCACAGTACAGACTAAAGGTAGGCTATGTGTAGAGCACATTACAGACCGCTCTACGGCTATAGGTAGGCTATGTGTAGAGCACATTACAGACCGCTCTATATCTATAGGTAGGCTATGTGAAGAGCACATTACAGACTATAGGTAGGCTTTGCGTAGAGCACGTTACAGACCTCTCTATATCTATAGGAAGGCTATGTGTAGAGCACATTACAGACTATAGGTAGGCTATGTGTAGAGCACATTATAGACTATTAGACATGTGCACTGCCAAAAAATTTGTTTAGTTTCGTTTTAAATTCGGATTTGTGTTATTTCGTTTTTCGGGATTCGGGTGTGAAAGTCAATTCGGATTCCGGATTCGGACGAAATTAGTTAGCGGTAGTTCGTTTGAACGTTCGTTTCGTGTTCCTTTCATATTCGTTTCGTTCATTCATTCGTAGCGAAGTGACATTTTAGGGGGGAAAATGTTTTTCTACTTCTCTGTCACTTTGCTCCAACGAACGAAACGAATAAGAAACGAAAACGAAACAAACGTTCGAACGAACTACCGCTACCGAATTTCGGAAACGGAAATTCGGATTCGTTTGCATTCGTTATATCTGTAATTCGGATACATCCGAATGTCCGAAAATTCATCCGAATTTCGATTCGGAACGAAACGAATCGCACATGTCTATAGACTATAGGTAGGCTATGTGTAGAGCATGTTACAGACCTCTCTATATCTATAGGAAGGCTATGGGGTCTATTCACGAAGCTGCCGAGGGATCTGGCCGTAGCTTCGGCCGATCCTTCGGCTAGCTTCGGCCCCAGGACCCCTTCGGTTCAGTAGAACCGAGGGGGTGCTGTACGGGCTATTCACAATAGCCCGTACAGCTCCCGATCATGGCCGAGCGGCTCAGTCGAAGATGGCCGAGCGGTTTATGGCTGAAATCAGCCGTACCAGCCTGAAGTGAATAGCCGAACGGTGTTCGGCTCACTTCACTTCTGATCGGTCATTCACTCGGCTGCCCTCGGCAACATAGTGAATAGACCCCTATGTGTAGAGCACATTACAGACTAATTTACACATATAGGTAGGCTATGCAAAGAACTGATCACAGGCTGCTCCATAGGCATACCGCAGGCACACTCAGCCACCAGGTAGTGAATGGGTTACAGGGTATACACAGTAAGAATCTGTGTACATTTTTGTGGCAGTGTGGTTGCTGGTTATAGACTCTTAGGATGGGAGCAGTTACTAGACAGACAGATGCATTCCCTCACAGCCCTCCTTACACTATAACCCAGCAATCCCAGCCAACATAAATACCTACAAATGGCTGCAATGAATGACTCCCCATGTGCTGATACAACGATGATCTCCAGCACTGAGGATCTGCAGACGGCTCATGAATGTGAGTGTGTCCAGGCGGCTGTAACCCGAGCCGGGGGACTATTCATTGTAACACGTGAGCAGCCTGAGGAGAGACACCGAGAGAGAGCACAGAGGACTCATCTAGTACAGTGCCACATCAATGGCAGGACAATGGCATCACCTTCTGCTGGGGTATCTACTCACCCTGACTGTGGGCATAGTGCACAGCTCCCCCAGCTGCCTCCCCGGGGACCGAGCCTTGGGTAAGAACAATGTTACACTGTTAGGAAGCAGGCAGAGATCTGGGGAAGTTTAGAAGAATAGAATCAGACTGACCAGGTAGAACCCTTTACACTTCTCTATGTTATGATTGTCTCTGATGGAATGTCAGCTCACATATAAACAGCACAGTGTGCATCCTGCTTACTTTGAGAAAGTCTTGGAAGGAAAATATTTTGGTATCTAGATATTAGTTATAAAAGTGCACCAACTTTTGTTTCTTCTTTCTTTGTCATATTGTTATATTAGTTTTCAATGTAAAGCTAAAGGCAGAACTTGTTTTAAAATGTACATACTTATACTATATCTAAAGCCATCATTTTCAAGTGTCAGGTTATATTAGTTTTCACATTATAATTAAAGGCAGAACTTTTTTAAGATTCAGATAGTTGTATTATATCTAAAGCTAAAACTTTTTTTTTTGATAGATTTGCTTGCAACTTTGCTACATTTGCCTGGATAAGAGTGCTTACTCTTAGGTGTATTTAACTCAGATTTAATGATTGTGTTTTATTTAAAGTGACACTAAACTCAGGAGTTAAATCTTAAAAATACATTCAAGTACCTTAAAGGGTTATTAAACCCTATGTTTTGTTTGTATATATCTACTGCTAGCAAGCAGTAGATATATGCAAAAACTTTTTTTTTTAAACGCTTTAAAATAGGTTTAAACTTACCTGTGTCTTCAGTCTTCACCGCACGCTCCCGTCCGAAAATCTGAAAAATCTTGTGCGGCTGCAAAGGATCTTGTGGTGGGCGCATGCACAGTTCAGATTTGCACCCGCATGCAGACACTGTAGGACAGGAAGGGCCAGCAAGCACAGAGGAGTCAGTGGTGGATGGGAGACCCGCAGCAGCGCTGGAGGGACAGATGAAAACAACAGGAAAGAAGATCGGATTTAGAAACATCATTTAGGGTACGTGCTTACATCAATGTATACTTTAATGTCACTTTAACTATTAACAATACTGTATCTTATTTGTGTATCACTGAGCTGTAGATCCTCAAATCATCTCTGAATTGGTGCTGACACTGTCCTTCCTTCTTGAGGTTGGCTACTTTTGTTCCCCATGGTCTATGTGTGTGTTGTAAAGTAGCCACCACTCCAAGCTCGCTCCTGTGATGGACTACAATCTCAATACAAATTAGAAAACTAAACATGAGATTGTAGTCCATCACGGGAGTGAACTTGGAGCGGTGTCTACTTTACAACACACACAGGGATCATCGGGAACAAAAGTAGCCACCCTCCAGAAGGAAGGACAGTGTCAGCACCAATTCAGATATGATTTGAGGATCTACACAAATAAGATAGTTTGCTGGATGTCACACACCGGCTCTATTGATCTGTAACTGAGCGATCACATACCGTTGATCGCTCAGTTCCCAATCTTCTCCTTGCAGACAGCGGTGACTTTCAATCATGGCTCCCCACAGGGATTTTCCCCTCCTCCATCCATCCCTCCAGTCAGCTTTGGTCGAACAGAGAGGGGTGGGTGAGATCCCCGTGGGGAGCCGTGACTGAAAATCACCACTGTCTGCATGGAGAAGATCGGGAACGGATCGATCAGTGGCTCTAGAGAGACAGAGCCAGCTGTCAATCAGGCAGCTGAGTGGATCCCAACAATGTTGTTGGGATCTTTCCCAGCTGCAGTGTGGCTTTGCGCTTTCAGTATATAGAGCTATAGCCTGCTATATGCTGAGTTTTGTGTCAAAGGAGGACATTAGTAAATGTCCTCCTGTGACCCTAAGGAGAACTAAGGCCAAAAAAGGTTTGGTTATACACTGAGTAGCCAGATTATTATGACCACCCCATCGGTACTTTGTTGGGCCACAAGATGACTCCACGAGATGACTCGACCAAAGCTGAACATTTAACAAATTCTGCTGTTTTGCTGATACTCGCTCCATGGCTCCGCGCCAACAATCATCCCACGTTCAAAGGCTGTTAAATCGCGTTGTTTACCCGTATCTTCAGAAAAAAATCACTTCTACTGTCGTGGTAAACAACCTGCTTCCCTATTTATAATGGTCTGGCCCTCTAGCAACTTCAGCGCAAAATTATAGCTAAATTTGCCTACAAACGTCAGGTGGTCATAATAATCTGCCACTCAGTGTAGTTCTCTTTTAACTGCCAGAGTGACCATTTGGCAGGCATGTTACTATGCCTGTTTGCATGGTAAGCCCTCATTCACACCTTTGCGACCTCGAATATGTGCATCTTCAGTGTGATTTCTATACCATGTTTTTGCGTGTTTGTTTTGCACATTTTTGTGAGCATAAAACGCGCATACATTCAGTTGCGCAATTTTTGCGAGCAGATCATGACACATAGATGTGAATGGTCAAACGCGGGTACAACATGTACAAAATGTGCAAAAATGCAGCAAGTGCAGGTTTTTGAGCATTTCCATTGAGGTCTATGGGGCCAAAAAGCGCAGAATCTGCCAAAAAGAAGCTCATGTACTTTCTTTAAGTAACAAGTGTTTTGCTACAAGCAACAAAATGCTGAGAAGTGAACATGGCAATAGTAATTAATGTTTTTTTGGGGGAGGCAGGGTTTTTTTGCGTGAAAGTGGCCGGAGGCAGCCGTAAGATCACGGCTGGCTCCGCCCAGTTGTCAGAAGCAGGCTGTCGGCCGGCCAATGGCCGACCGCTCGGCCAGCTTCGGCTTTCAGCACAGCTCAGCGCTCGAATGAGCTGCTCGGCCGTGATCGCTAGCTGTACGGGCTATTGTGAATAGCCCGTACAGCACCCCCTCGGTTCTCCTGAACCGAAGGGGTCCTGGGGCCGAAGCCAGCCGAAGGATCGGCCGAAGCTACTTACTGTGAACGAGGGCTTAAAGGAGAACTATGAGGTGAGTGAAAATCACTCACCCTCATTGTTGGAGCCGACGTGGTGACAATGAAACTGTCACACGTCGGCTTAATAGATCGGAAAGTGAGTGAACGCAAACTGTCGCTTGCTCACTTCTCCATCATCTCCCTGCAGAGAGCCGTGACTGTCAGTCACCGCTCCCCGCAGGGATTCCCCCTCCCCTCTCCGATCCTCCAGTGCTGAGTGGAGGAACGGACGGGGGAGAGGGCGGGTACAGCTGGCGCTGCCTCTAGATAGGCAGAGCCAGCTGTCATTCACGCAGCTGGGTGGATCTCAACAGCATTGTCGGAATCCATCCCGGATGCGGTGCTCTCAGTATATAGCGAGCTGATACTGAGCTTTGGGTCACGGGTGGACGCTAGTATATGTCCTCCTGTTACCCTTAAGAGAACTATGGGGAAAAACACTTACCCATAGTTCTCTTTTAAGCTTGTTGCAGAGCAGCAGGGAGCCATGGAACCCTGGAGTCCCAAAACCCAGGTGCATCAACTTTGACATGGCTGCTCAATGTGATGTAAGGTCAGGATGACCAATAATGAGGCAGGGAAGATATAACATAACTTCACCTTCTGGTTCTTCTAAGGTGCTTTAGAATAAAAATGATGTTTGCAGGCCTTTCTGCTACAACACCCACTGTCACTTTACTAACAATGGCAGCTTCAATGTGATATTGTAAAAATGTTTTCTCAAGTTAGCTATTGTAGACACTGTGGACCTCGTTTCTTGATGGCTCAGTGAATGGTAGTCTAAGGTTTTATGTACACAGGTGGAACTGGCTTGCATATAAGATGCCTGTTGGAGCTGCACTCCCATTGACCTGCTGTGGGGAAGAAAAGTGAACAAATCTATAGAAGACATAATGGAGGTCACAGTTCTATATTTATTATCTCAGAGCATACCATTAACTTGTCAGGGTCTGCTATATTAAATATGATTTGAAATAATTATTTAATTTGGCTTGCAGGCTAGGTTCAGATTTAAGAGATCCCAGGACGCGCGTCCCAGGACAGCACGGCAATCACTGTGTGCAATTGTGCATGATCGCACGGTCCCGGGATGTGCGTCTTGGGATCTCCCATATCTGAACCTAGGGTTCAATAGGGTTACATCCATGTGGCAATCGCTAAGAAAAGGTACATGTACTTTTTTTTGCGACACGCGACGTGCGGCTTTTTTTTTACCCTCAATTGTGTTCAATTGCATTGGCGGTATCGCGGTGGGAAACCGCGCGATCTGCCTGGTGCGACTGGGGTGCCATTAAAATATCATGGCACTGCCAGCTCCATCGGCAGTGGTGGACGATTCCGTGACCATCCTCACGGTTTCATACACAATTGCCGCGCGGTCACAGGTCGCCCTGGTGTGGACCTAGACTCAAACGACATGAACGAAAAATGTAAATGATTCGGCAGATCAATCTAAAAAACAACTGTGACATTCTGTAGCTTGGTTTAGACAATATACTGCCCTTAAAAACCAGATCCCTCTGTTCAATCTTATACAATGAACAGAAGGAAAAGAAGACCATGTGATGGTCAATGCCAGTTGTCTGAGATGACCGGAGCTTCAGACACCTTGATGATTGGACCTCATTTACCCCTCTGGAACTTTTGACAGATTTTGGATGTTTTTCTCTGCACTAAATTAGACTTGTAATAACAGTTGCTAGGTCTAGTGTACACAGATTTGTGAGGCCAGTTTGCTTTCAGATTATGCTTTTCTTTAATTGTGAAAGGAAGTGGCAAATGGTATGGTAATGGCATGGTAAACATATGGTAAAGTACCTATAAGCACATGGCACATACATAGTAAATACATCGTAAAGTAAACCTATGCTTTCCATTTGCAAAAGGTTTGTGCTAACGGTGGCTGTAGAAAGAGCATATATTCA